CTGTGGCTCAAGTGGTAGAGCGCTAGCCTTGAGCTGAAGAGCTGAGGGACAGCGCCCAGGCCCAGAGTTCAGGCCCCACGACCGGACCCCCCCAAAAAAAATGTTAATTGGAGAAATCTCTTCTATAGAAAGCCAAATAGTTTCTATAATTTTTTTTTTTTGGTTCTACAAAATTTTAACAGCAGGCTAGGAATGTGGCTTAGTGGTAGAGTGCTTGCCTAGCATGCATGAAGCCCTGGGTTCGATTCCTAAGTACCACCTAAACAGAAAAAGCCGGAAGTAGCTCTGTGGCTCAAGTGGTAGAGTGCTAGTCCTGAGCAAAAGAAGCTCAGGAACAGTGCCCAGGTCCTGAGCTCAAGCACTATATCTGGCAAAAAAAAAAAAAAAAGAAGCATGAATTTAAAGGACAAGCAGTAAGTATTATCATAAGTGCAAATATATCTACATAGTAACACAATTTTAATAATTCAATAATCTGACTGTAAGAGGGATCATGTTTATTTCCTATCCCAGCAAACTTATACTTGCTTTTCAGAAAAGCAACAAAAACAAATTCTGCAGAGTCAAACATATTTTCTTTTGGTCTCACTTTATTTTCTCACTATTCTCTTCTCCCCTGGTAAACCAAAATCACCAGACCTAAAAAAACCCCACACTTATTTTTGCCTCCATGATTTTGCCAATATTATTCACTAAAGTTAACAACCCTTGCCTCACTACTCTAACTAAATTCTACTCATCTTTCAAGGGCAAGTTTATATCTCCTCCCCTCCACAAAGTTTTCTATATCCACCACATAATGGTTAGTTAGCTCTGTTAAAGCCCTTTCATTTTGCAACTAAGTATTGCTTATGACACTGTCTCTCCACCTCTTATGGTACTGCTGTCTCTTTGAGGGAAGGATCGTGCTTTTATACTTCTTATTGTCATTGGCTATGAACATTAAGTACTTAAATAGCATCTAGTGTTTTGTTTACTTAAAATTAGGCCAAATACTGACTCCACTGATTTTAAACACTATTCATTCATTTAGTTTCTATAAACCTAATTTCTTTAACTTCTCAGGTAATAGTTCTTTCTAATGATGAAGATTAAACTTTTTTTGGGGGGGGGATCATGGGGCTTGAACTCTGGGCCTGGGTGCTGTCCCTCAGTTCTTCACTCAAGGCTAGTGCTCTACCATTTGAGCCACAGCGCCTCTTCCTAAACTTAAGCCTAATGTCTTTGACTTCGTAAATTTAATCCAAAATAAAAATAACCTTAACTTCTCCTGGCTAAGATCCCATGCTAATATAATATCCTCATTACTTTTACTCTCTTGCCTTAAGCAATTTTTTGATTGTATTTCTATCTCTTCCCCTCCAGACAGCACTTAGACTATATTAACTTTTCTCCATTTTTATTCCCTATTTTTAAGTAGTTTTATTGAGATGTAATTCACACCATCCCATTTGTTTACCTTTTTAAGTTCCTCGATCACTGTTCTAGAGTGACTTCAAATTACATACTTTTTTCTTTTTAATATTTTCTAAAGTTTTGGGGAAACTACACATACCAAATCTAAGTCTATGTGTCAAACAACAGTGACATACTGCCTTCAGGATGGCTTACCAGTCCCTTGTCCTGTAGGCACATCATCAGTGTGCATACATCTCCTGTTGCCTGATGGTTTACCAACATCACTGCTTCATCTTTTGCAATTGCTTTAATATCTTCTCCCCATTCCATCACTGTAAAACAAAAAGTTTCAAACTGTTATTTTAAAGTTTTTAAATAACTGAAAACCTCCTATTAGGAAAAAATGGTATACACTAATGAGGATACTAGTGGGAGCCAATAGCTCATGCCTATAATCCTAGCTACTTAGGAGGCTGAGATCTGAGGATCGCAGTTGAAAGCCAACCTGGGCAGGAAGACTCTTATTTTATTAATTACAAAAAAAGCTGGAAGTGGAGCTGTGGCTCAAGTGTAAAGTGCGAGCCTTGAACAAAAGCAGCTCAGGGATAGTGCCCAAGCATTGAGTTCAAGCCCCAGGACCAACACACACACACACACACACACACACTAGAATATTAATAGAACATTTTTTTTTTTTTTTGCTTATGTGGTGCTGGGGAATCGAACCCAGGGCTTCATGCATGCAAGGCAAGCGCTCTACCACTGAGCCACCTTCCCAGCCCCTAGAACATTTTATAGTGACTCAAATATCCACTGAAGCATAAAATGGCCATTTAATATAGAAATTATCTTTCCTGGAACTTATCCTATAAAATACAAATAGGATTACTCAAATAGGAAAACTATAGATAGGTATGTAGGATATTTGTTACAAGTTAAATGTTTACCCATAGGGGAATAAACAACAAAATGATAATGTAAAGGAAGAGGATAAATCCATTAATAACCTTCCAAATGATACAAACTTTATTACCAACTGTGATATTATGAGATATAATATAATACACACACACACACACACACACACACACACAGGTATTGTCTAAGGTTCCTAGCTCCTAACTGCTTCCCCAAGGCAGGCCATAGGAACTTGAATTTCTTTTTCTTGTGGTAGTCATAGGTTCATCCAAACTCTAATCTTCCCTGTCTTTCTCTGATCTTTCTTGTCTAATATAATAAGACAGCATATAGAAAGAATCCAGACCCATATCTCTAGGAAGGAATGTAGTAAGGAAGGAATGCTGAATAGACAGGTCTTGCTGGGTTTCTCCTTCCATTTACTAGTGTTTATTATTTGATATGTAATGAAGTTTCCATAAAATCCTAAAGGACAGAGTTTAAGGAGCTGATCACGTGGAGGTTCCTAGCGATCAGGACTCCAGAGAAGGCAGAGAAGCTCTATGTACCTTGCCCTGTGTACCTACTGATCTGTATCTTTGGAATATGTTTCCCTGGGTTCCATGGGTTCTGTGAGCCACTTGAGCAGATTAACTGAACCTGAGGAAAAGGTTGTAGGAACCCTCATTTTTTTTTTTTTTTTTATTTTGGGACTTGAACTCTGGGCTTGGGTGCAATCTTCAGCTCAAGGAGAGGATTCTACCGCTCGAGCCACAGCATCACTTCTGGTTTTCTAGTGGTTTATTGGAGATAAGAGTCTCACGGACTTTCCTGCCTGGGCTGGCTTTGAACCTAGATCCTCAGATCTCAGCCTCCTGAGTAGCTAGGATTACAAGCGTGAGCCACCGACGCCCGGCTGGAACCCTCATTATAGTTATATTTGTGTGGAGAAACACAAAACAACTTGGGATTGGTGACGGGTATCTAAAGATGTGGTGAGGGCAGTTGTGCCAATTGATCCCTTAACTTGTGGAGGCTGATACTATTTCTAGGTGGATGATGTTTAAAATGACTTGGATTAGAGGATGCCCAACTGGTGTCCTCTGCTGCACTGACTGCTTGCATGGTAGAAGATGGGGAAGGACCTCCTACCCATTTGGCATCACAAGTAATCAGTGCAGCACTGGTGGCTCACATTTGTTATCTACTCAGGAGGCTGAAATCTGAGATTGAGGTTCAAACCCAGCCTTGGTAGCAGTCTGTGAGACTCTTATCTCTAATTAACCAGCCAAAAGCTGGAAATGGAGCTGTGCCTCATGTGGTAGTTTTGAGTGAAAAAAGCAAAGTGAGAGCACCAGGCCTTGAGTTCAAGCCATAGTGCCAGCACACATAAAAATGGTGATCAGTGTTGAGAGTGTAGTAGGAGAAACTAAACTTGGTTTGTTTTATTTTTATGTGGTTCTGGGGGTCAAACTCAAGGCCTCACATATGCTAGGCAAACACTTCATTACTGATCTAAACCCCAGCCTTTGGGCTTCAGTTTTTTTTTTTTTTCACTGTATATCTGGACTACTATATCTTTAGAGACAAATCATAAGATAGTATATACACAGAGTATTCCATCTTTTTAAAGAAGGAATAAAATTTATTATCCAATGCATTGAGGGAATAAATGTCACACAATTCATACCAATTATTAGGATATGGTTACCATACCCTTTGATATCTACTGTGTAAGAAAGTAGACATTACAAAAACATGCATTTCACCTTAATATTTAAAAAACGAATATGAAAGTTAAATTTGTCTAAAATCTGCAGATAAAAGTATTGCACAAAACCTATATGTATATTCCATGACTTATTTTATATAGTAAACATAGAAAAAAAAAGAAATTGGTCCTCAGTTTTCAAATAGGTTCTTCAAATGCCTGATGTGAATCACCAAAATTGACTATCCACTAGTGTTCACTTACACTCTCGCCTCACCTCACTCACCTGTCAGGAAAGAAGTCAAGCCTGATGTGTTGGCAGTGCTGGATACACAGTGATAAGAGGCCCAGAGTCCCTACTTCACAGTCCTCAGCCTCTTCTTCCTCATCACCCCTGGATCTCCTCATAACATGATAGGGTTGCTCATAAGAGTTGATTTAAGAAAAGGGCCCTGCTGATAATTTTCTTTCTGTTGAAGCCCATTTAAGCACGGCTTCTATCCCTTTTAATGATCTTAGTGATCTGTGAAGCAATTTTCAGCAGGACTGAAAATATATCAAAGTATGGTACCTACCACAAGAAGTGAGGTAATACCATCATCCTAGCAGATGCGGTAATAGTTTATGGTGTCCATGAAAAATGTTTTATTTTAAAATTTTTAAATGAGGGGCTGGGAAGGTGGCTCAATGGTAGAGTGCTTGCCTTGCATGCATGAGGCCCTGGGTTCAATTCCTTAGCATCACATAAGAAAAAGAAAATAAATAAATAATAAAAATTTTTAAATGAAGGGGCTGGGAAGGTGGCTCAATGGTAGAGTGCTTGCCTTGCATGCATGAGGCCCTGGGTTCAATTCCTTAGCATCACATAAGAAAAAGAAAATAAATAAATAATAAAAATTTTTAAATGAAGGGGCTGGGAAGGTGGCTCAGTTGTAGAGCGCTTGCCTTGCATGCCTAAGGCCCTGGGTTGGATTCCTCAGCACCACATAAGAAAAAAGAAAAAAGCCGGAAGTGGCGCTGTGGCTCAAGTGGTAGAGCACTAGCCTTGAGCTGAAGAGCTGAGGGACAGCGCCCAGGCCCAGAGTTCAGGCCCCATGACTGGACCCCCCCCAAAAAAAATTTTTTTTAATGAAAAAAAAAATTTAATAAAAGCCAGGCACTGCTGGCTCACATCTTTAATCCCAGAAACTCAGAAGACTAAGATCTGAAGATCTTTCTTGCCTAAGCAAGAAAGTCTATGAGACTCTTATCTCCAATTAAGCAGCAAAAAGCCAGATGTGGAGCTGTGGCTCCAGTGGCAGAATTCCATCCTTGAGTGGGAAAAGCTAAGGGACAGTGTCCAGCGCCTGAAAAAAAGAAAGAAAGAAAGAAAGAAGGAAGGAAGGAAGGAAGGAAGGAAGGAAAGAGAGAAGAAAGAAAGAAAGAAAGAAAAAAGAGAGAAAGAAAGAAAGAAAGGAAGGAAGGAAGGAAGGAAGGAAGAAAGAAAGCAAAGAAAAGAAAAGAGAGAAGAGAGAGAGGGAGGGAGATACAATGCAATCGCTAGGAACAGAGGTAAAACCTGGAGAACCTGGCCTCTTGCAAATTTCAGTAGCATAGATTTTTTTCAGAACCCCCTAGCATAGATTTTTTTTTTCAGAACCCCCCCCTTTGCCAGCTTTCCAACTCAGTTCAGCTGACAAGTTCACTTTCCTGAAGCATATTTAAATAACTGATATATTGCTGGAGGACACTGAAAGTGGTACTTTTTTTTGAAGTCAATATGTCACTACATTTCAAAAGAAGTTCACAAACCATTTTACCCAGCAAGTCCACATTCTAGGGATTCATCCTACAGATACACTGGCTCATGTGCAAAATGACATGTATACAAGACTATTTACTGCAACATTGTTTTCCAGAGCCTTTGAATCTTCATGAAAAAAAACTACAAAGGGAAACCAGTTCAAAGTAAAACAAAAAACAACACCCTCCCCAAAAAAACATAAACACGGTTGCCAGGGGCTGAGGGGGGGGGCGGTGGTGTTTAAGGAGTAGTTACCCCTCCTTACTTGCAGTGAACTGGTTCTAGGAGCCCTTGAGGATACCTAAGTCTGTGGATACTCCAGTCCCTTACAAAGAGACACAGCACTTACCTATAACCTATGCAAATCCTCCAGAATACTTTACATCATCTCTAGATTAGACTACTTCATACAATGCAAATGCTACATAAATAGTCATTATACTGCATAGATTAGGAAATTAATGACAAGAAAAAAACCTGTGCAAGTTTCAGTCAGAGGCAATTTTTTTTTCAAATATTTTCAATTTGCAGTTGATCAAGCCCATAATGTAGAACCCATAGATATGGAAGAGCAAATGAATCAAGTTTTAGTCTTGAGAAATGAAAACTTTGGGAGACTGATTGCACAACAACATGAATACACTTAACACCAAAGTATTTGGGGGAAGGGGCACAACTGAGGTTAGAATCAGGACCTAGACAGGCTCTCATGAGGTTAGAATCAGGACCTAGACAGGCTCTCTATCCCTTGAATCATGTCCCCATCCCCAACAGCCACCTTTATCCATCCTATTTACATTTCCAATGTAGTTGGGATAACAAGCATGCACCACCGCTTTCAACTTTATATTGGTTGAAAGGGGTTCTTGCAGACTTTTTACCTGGGTGGTCTCAAACTTCAATCCTCACAATCTCAGCCTCACAAGTAGCTAGTATTATTA